GAGGCCAGCATTAAACTAATTCCAAAACCAGATAGACACTACAAAGAATGAACATAGATGAATACAGATGCTTAAATCCTCAACAAAATATTAGCAAACTGTATCCAGCAGTACATTAAAAAGACCATATACCATGATCAAATGGGATTTATTCCACGGATGCAAAATTGGTACAATATCCACAAATCAATTAACTTGATACACACCACATAAACAAAATGAATGATTAAAATGACATATCAATAGATGTAGAAAAATCATTTGATAAAATCCAGCACCCACTCGTGATAAAAATTCAGCAAAGTGGGGATAGAGGCAACATACCTCAACATAATAAAGGCCATATATGACAAACTCATAGACAGCACCATGGTAAAAAATTAAAAACATTTCCCTTTTGATGAAGAACAAGACAGGGATGTCTGCTTTTACCACTATTCAACACTAGTTGCCCTGTGCACAAAATTTGTGAATGGGTGGGGGAGCTTCCCTCAGCCCAGCCTGCACCCTCTTCAATCGGGGACCTCTTGGGGGATGTCCGACTGCAGGTTAATCAGACATCCCTAAACCAGCAGTCGGACATCCCTCTCGCAATATGGGATCGCTGACTCCTAACTGCCCACCTGCCTCTTGGCCTGATCTCACCCCCAAATGCCCTCCCCTGCCAACCTGATCACCCCTAACTCCCGCTGACTCAGCCCCCACCACCATGGCTTTGTCTGGAAGGAAGTCGGATGTCCAGAAGATGCTCTTAGCAGACAAAAATACATAATCCCTATATCTGGACTGATAGCCAGCCATATGCAGTATACTGCCAAACCAGTCATTAAAAAATTGAACCGCTTTCTTACACCTTACACCCCCTCCTCAGCCCCCACCTTAGGTTCTGCCTTCGCAGTTCACCCAGATTTACATCTGATTGGTTGGTTTTTATGCCAGTCAGTGTCAGAAGCTCTGCCTCCTAGACAGTCATTGGCTCTTCACAGTTCACCCAGATTTGGTTTTAATTGGTCAGTTTCTATGCCATCCAGTGTCTCCAGGACTGATCAGAGAGGCAAGGCTGATCACTAATCCCTGCAGAGGCCTGGAGAGAGAGAGAGGTGTGCTGCTGGCCAGTCCCAAAGAGGAAGAGAGAGGCAAGGGCTGATCAACAGCTTCCACGGAGGCTACAGATCAGACCCTGCTTCTCTCTCCAGGTATTTCTCTGGGCCTGATCCACAGCCCCCTCAGCAGTCAGTGCTGGGTTACCATGTGCAGCGGAGGCAGTCACTGCTGGGTCGCTATGGCAACCTAGCACTGACTACAGGATTAACTTCCGGTTGGTCGAGACTTCAGTCATTTTGGATGATACAAACCCTGAGTTTTTATATACTGTGTTTCCCCGAAAATAAGACATCCCCTGAAAATAAGACCTAGTGCAACTTTGGGAGAAAAAATTAATATAAGACACAGTCTTATTTTCGGGGAAACAGGATATTAGGATAGTACTAGAAGTCCTAGCCACAACAATCAGACAGGAAGAAGAAATAAAAGGTATCCAAATAGGAAACGAAGAAATAAAGCTATCATTATTTGTACATGACATGATACTATATATAGAAAACTCTACAGATTCCACTAAAAAACTATTAGAACTGCCCTAACCATCATGGATCAGTAGTTAGAGCACTGGCCCATGCACTGAAAGGTTGAGGGTTCAATTCCAGATCAAGGGCATGTACCTGGGTTGCAAGTTAGATTCCCAGCGGGAGATCATGCAGGAGGCAACCAATCAATGTATCTTTCTCATATTGATGTTTCTCTCTTTCTTGCTCTCGCTCTCTCTTCCTCCCTTCTACTCTAGCTAAAAAAATATATATATATATTCAGTAGAAAATATATCCTCGGGTCAAGATTAACAACAAAAAACCAATGGATTTTAATCTAAAGTATCAAAAGTTCATTAATATGATTTGATTTGAGATACATATCGGGTCTAGTAATAATTAATGTCGTTTTTAAACATTCGTTTAAAATCTTGCTTGGCGTTGACTTGTATTGACATAACCTTCAAACACGTGGTATCTACAGAACATGTGAAGTGCAATTAACAAGTTTTGCTTGAAAAAGTTTGTGTTTGGTTTGGTTTTTGTTGCAAAACTAGGGCTAAGAAGATGGCGGATGAAGAGCATATTCGGCACTGCATGCTTTACGAGTTCCAATTAGGAAGAAAAGCAAGTGAGGCTGCAAAAAACATCTGTAGTGCTCTTGGTCAAGATGCAGTTAGCGCCAGAAAATGCCAGCGTTGGTTTGAGAAATTTCGTGAGGGAAATTTTTCGTTAGATGACAAGAGTGGTCAAGGCCGTGTGTCCAATTTTGATCAAGAAGCTCTTCAAGCTCTTTTGGTGCAAAATCCTCAAATTACCCAACAAGAGCTTGCGACAACTTTCAATTGTTCACAACAAACAATTTCCAATCAATTGCGTGCACTTGGCAAAGTCCAAAAGTTTGGAAAATGGGTTCCTCATGAGTTGACCGACAACAACCGTAATCAAAGAGTCACAATTTGCAGTTCGCTCCTCTCTCGTCAAAACCATTTGCCGTTTTTAGAGCAAATTGTTACCGAAGATGAAAAATGGGTGCTGTATGTTAATTTGAAAAGGCGGCCTCAATGGTTGGACAAAAATGAGGCTCCGCAGCCCACGCCAAAACCTGACTTGCATGCGAAAAAAGTGATGTTGTGTGTTTGGTGGAATTTTAAAGGAATTCTTCATTATGAACTTTTACCATCTAACCAAACCATTACAAGTGCAGTGTATAATGCCCAACTGGAAAGGTTAGCCCAAGCTTTAAGAGAAAAAGAACCCGCGCTGATTAATCGGAAGGGCGTAATTCTTCACCACGGTAACGCACGACCGCATACTGCAAGAATCACTGCTGAAAAACTGCGCCAGTTGGAATGGGAAGTTCTCCCTCAACCTGCATATTCTCCTGATATTGCCCCTTCCGATTACCATTTGTTTCGTTCTTTGCAAAACTTTCTTCTTGGAAAAAAATTTAATAATGAAGAATGCCTCAAAAATGCATTGACCGAATTTTTTGCATTAAAATCACAAGAATTTTACAACAGAGGGATTAAAATGCTTCCTGAGTGTTGGGCACAAGTAGTAGAAAACAACGGCAACTATATTGTTGATTAAATTTTGTTGTATGTATTGTTTAAATAAATTCAATTAAAAAAAAAGGTATTAGAAAACGACATTAATTATTACTAGACCTAATACTATCCACAATTACCTAAAAAGGCTATTAAAATATTCATTGTTTTTCATATTTTCAATACTCTGTGTGAAGGATTTTTTTTTCATACACTTCAATCAAAATAATATATCACAATAGACTTAATGCAGAAGATGTGAGAACCCAGTTGTTTTCTATTAATCAGACATTTAAGAAGATATTTGCAATAATATAATACATTCTTTTCACTAATTTTGTTACTTTGGAAAAGTTATTTGTCATACAAAATATGTCATTTAGGTAAATGTAATGGATTTACTATTGTTATACAGTCATTAAATAATAGATTTTTTCCCAATTATTTTTTGTTTTTCTTTTTTTACTGAGATATAATTGTTGTATAACATTATATTAATTTCATATGAACAATGTGATTTGATATATGTGTATATTATGAAATGATCACTACAATAAGTCTACTTAATATCCATCACCTCACATAGTTACAAGTTTGTTTTCTAGTGATGAAAACTTTTAAGATCTCTCTTAGTAACTTTCAAATATACATACAGTATCATTAACCATAGTTATTATGCTGTACATTACATCCCCAGAACTCAACTTATTTTATAACTGGAAGTTTATACCTTTAACCACTTTCATCCATTTCCTTCTTCCCACCTGACAACCAAAAATCTGTTATCTGAACCTTTGAGATTGTTTTGTTTTTAAAGATTCCGTATATAAGTGACATTATATATGGTATTTGGCTTTATCTGACTTATAAAATAATATTTAAAATTTGTTTTAATTTTGAATATAGTATATATTTGTAGATATAATCGACAAAAATAAAAAGCTTAATAATTCTTAAAAGAGTAAACGAGTCCTGGGATAAAAAGAAAACTGAGAACTGCTGCTCTGGAGAAACTTGTGTAAGTGCAGAAAGATTTGTACACAAAGATATCCACTCCAGCACTGTTTCAAAATTAAAAGTTTAAAAACAAAGACTGCTAAATTGTTTTTCAGAAAAGTCCTTGAATTCACTCTGTCTACTCCTACCATTACTGCCCTAATTTAGCTGTAATTTTACATTCAGACAATGCCTGACAATGCTGAAAATACACTTCCAGCTCAATTCTCATAACAAATAGCGAATGGACCACTACAGTAACTCTTTGCTTCTTTCTCTCCTCCAGGTAATTACGAGTTTAAATCCCAACTTCTCAACTTCAACTTACTTCAACCAAAAGAGCTTCTAAGTGAAGTAGTATTTGCATAACAAATTCTAAGCTTTTGAAAACATGGTTTAAAAATCACTATGTTAAACTCATATAACCAATAATCAGAAAATCTAAACTGTAACTTTTCCTTCATTCACTTGAACAAGGAGGGTTGAATTAAGTGGTTTAATCTCAATCAAATGCAGTTTAGTTCCAGTTTTGCAAAACCAAAGGAATATTAAACTTTGGAATGTATCTATCACAAAGGAGGTCATCCAAATTAGTTTTTTTGCAAAATGAGAAAAACAATTAAAAGATCAGTAGCAACAGAAAAGTATAGTGATTTCCCATTCATAAGTAGTAAAATGTGCTTTTTTCTAGTAATGGAAACTGTAAGAAGAAAACCTGGTTCTAGCAGGGTGAGCAGAAATCTGGTATAGAAGTGGCAAATCATGGAAGAAGAAGAAAGATGGCACTGAGTGATCTTTCTGGAAAACTATCTCAGTGGCATATAGTATCTTCATATTTCTCTGAACCATCATATCATCTTATCTTTACCTCCACTACAAACGTGTCAATAATGTGCTCCTGGGGGAGGAACCAGTGGGCTACTTCCTCTTCATCCATCACCGGGGCAAGGTGAAACTGCTTCAGGTAACTGTTGGCTAATTCTCGAATTGCTTTGACATCTCTCGGTTCCATTGGTCTCAAGCCTGAAGTCTTTGTCACCTTGTTGGAGTGAAAATAAAACCAATTGAGAAGTTTAAATATAGAGAAGTAAAAAGCACTTTGTGCTAACTGTGATCTGCATATCAGCTGTGTCAGCGTCACAGAGAAGCCTGTTAGAACTGCAGACTCTAGGCCTTGCCCCAGACTCATCAGGTTACAACCTGCAAGTTAGCAAGCTTCCCTGGTAATCTGTATACACATTAAAGTATGAGGAGCACTAAGTTAGATTATATGCTAGACCAGCGGTAGGCAAAGTGCGGCTCATGAGCCACATGCAGCTCTTTGGCCCCTTGAGTGTGGCTCTTCTACAAAATACCACATGCGGGTGTGCACATACAGTGCGAATGAAACTTTGTGGCTCATGCGCAGAAGTCGGTTTCAGCTTTTAAAAGCAATTTCAATGGTTGTACTGTTGATATTTGGCTCTGTTGACTAACGAGTTTGCCGACCACTGTGCTAGACCATGTGTTATACCTTATCTCTGTGTGCCAGGTCTTTAGTCAGTATTGCCCAGGACACAAACAAAATGTGTATACCAATGCCAAGAATTTTAGCAGCCTACATGGTAGGGCAGAGCAAGCTCAGCATGTGTTCTGAAGTAGTGGGCTTTAACACTGCCTGGTCTGACAGTCTGAAAACACAGCCAAAAAGAGTTGAGAAACTTATTTTTTATTCAATGGCCTGTGAACAGGATATAGCTATTTTATTCTCATGAGCAACAAAAATGAAATAATACTGATCAGAATGGGAAGGAAAGTGTTTGAATAGCCAAGATTTTTCTGAAGGCAAATGGCTGGCTGCCAAGGACTGTTTGGTTCTCTCATGCAATCTTTTGATTAAGGGTGATGAGAATATGCATTTGAGTCCTTTCTTCCAAAGCATCACAATTTTCCCATTAGGTCACAGGGATAAACCTAAAGGTCAGGACATTTGTATTTGTTCAACTTCCTATCCTGACAAGAGCTCCAGACATCACTTAGCCCTCTAGGAAATGTCTGGACACCAGGACACTTAAACCTGGAAGTGAAAAACCCACGCCATTTGTTAGTTTGTACAAACGAAACACTGAAAACTTAGACATGCAATTTCATTTTCCCAGTTCACTTGATTTTTTTTTTTCTTGAAGAAATAGTGGATACATTTAAGCGATAACTTGTATTGCTACTCTATCTTTTCCATCTTAAATATTTCTAAATATATGAAAATTAAAAGCTGCCTCTACTGGTAAAATTAGATCAGTAGTATAGCAGAAGCCCCAGGTGGAAAATAGGTTTTTATCTGCATGCGGCTCTGTTTGATGTTAGTTGTGCTGATGTTTCTAAGGCTCTGTGACAAAGAATGCTGATTGATTATTGATTGGGGGGGGGAGGAGATGGCAGGTGCGTTCTTTGTGTTTACAGACTCGGTAATTCTTCGCTGAGTATTTACTATGTACAACTCAGTTGTGATTTATGTAATCCATAAATACATAGTAATGCAGCTAAAACAGTTTAATAGTCAAAACTGAAAGAATTTAAGTCTTTAACATTTAATAGAGAACTTGTACTTCAGGCTTTTTGTGGATCTCAAAGTCAAAGGACAAGAAATCTCCAGGTCCAGGTTTCCATCCTAAGCTAATCCTTCAGGTAAGCAGGGCAATAACAGCTTGGATACGTGTTAAATGAATTCCTATGTTTTGTATCACAATCATTTAAAAAGTGAGGTGAAGGCTACAAACATGGGAAAAAAGTCACCATTGGCTAAGTAAAGATGACACTTCTGTGGTGTGGCATTTATATGCAAACCAGGTGTGAAATTACATTTTTCTTTTGTTTCCCCCCTAAGCCAATTTTAGTATTGGTATTATTTTTAGACTGCAGTTCACAGGAAGAGGGAACCTATGTGTTTCCAAATACTGTTAAATGTAATAAATATATATTTGCTCAGAAGAGCAAAACCTTATAGGATACATACTGCAGTCATTAATAAAAAAAGATTATTTTCTGCTATGAGGATGACTTTGGAAATTTTAAACAGCCTTTCTCAATATTAGACATTTTTCTTTTGTTACTGGTTCAGTCACAACAATACCAAGCACTTAGCTTTATCAATGAAAGCAATAGGACACATGATATGTTAATAGAGAACATTCAGAAATGAAGAAAAGGCTTGCCAGCTTCTCTCTAAAGCAAAACATTCTTCTCCAACATAGTTGTCATGCATTCAATATTCACACTGCGAAATCACCAAAGTCCACATCCTGAAAGCAACTCTTAGCCTCCCCTTTATATTATGAAAGGTTATTGCATACTTCCCTAGAGCTCTACTAATGTGATTATATCCACCCATACTTGTCATACTAGAAGTTAAATCAGAAATTTTAAAACAAAAGAACATATAAGGCTGACATGTTGAGTGATGTGAGAGGAATGGCGGTGTGAGAGTGCACCTTGTTCTTTCCCCCTAAAATTTCAACAAATTAACCAACTATAATTCAACAAAGAAATCCCTACTTAAAACCTGTTAACCGAGCGGGACCTATAAATACGTCAAACGTAAACAATATCGGGAACGGGTAGGACGTATGAATACGTCCTTGAAATATATGTTGTGCCCTGAGAGGGACGGTATATATTTTTTGTAATCTTTATAATTGTTTGTAAAATTTTTAATTTTTTAATTCGATGTTTCCATTTTGTTGTTGGTATTCTTTTCTATTTGTTTGTAATTTTGTATTTTCCTTTGTGCTTTATATATAAATAAACGAAAAAATATATATTTCATTTATTTTAATTAAGTATAAATAAAAAAATAATAATATGAAATTACGTCCTCTGGGCGTGACTCTTTCACTGACACGTCCTAGTGAAAGAGTACGCGCCCATTACAGGTTGCGTAATTAAAAAGGGAACTCCCCGGTTAACAGGTTAACACAGACACACCCTTAAGAGACCTGCACATTGAAACATCAAAAGATGGGCATCTGGGAATAAAGGGGGAGATGAGAAGGGAGGAAAGTGCACCTGGTCCGCAGATGCAGCCCTGCAGCTGGGAACTCTTGGATAAGCTGATAGATTCAAAGTAAAAGGGTGAAAAATGATTCTCCAAGCAAATAACATCCACAGAAAAGCACATGCAGCCATACTTATATCTGACAAAATAGATGTAAAGATAATAAGAGACAAAGATGGACACTTTATAATGATAAAGGGGACACTACATCAAGAAAACATAAGACTTCTTAATATATATGCACCCACCCAGGGAGCACTGAAATATATAAAACTACTACTCACAGAAGTAAAGGGAGAAACAGATCAAAACACAATCCTAGTTGGGGGTCTTAATACTCCTTTACAGCTCTAGAAAGATCAAATACAGAAATATTGGCCTTAAATAAAACACTAGACCAACTGGACATAATTGACATTTACAGAACCTTTCATCCCAAGTGCACATAGAGCATTCTTAAGAATATTCCAAGAATATTAGGTCACAAAACTAGCATCAATAAATTCCAGAAGATTGAAATTATGCCAAGCATATTCTCTGATATCAATGCCTTGAAATTAGAAATCAATTGCAAAATGGAAGTAAAGAAACCCACAAATACATGGAATTAAACAACATACTACTGGGTCAAATACAAAATACAAGATGAGAACAAAAGATACATAGAGACAAATGTGAATGACAATACAACATGTCAAAAAATCTAAGATGCAGGGAAAGCAGGAATAAGAAGGAAGTGTATATTATTATAGGCCTATCTTAAGAAACAAGAGTAATCATAAGTAAACAACCTAACATTACACCTTATAGAACTAGGAAAGGAAGAACAAAAGCACTCAAAGTCAGCAGAAGGAAGGATATAATAAAAATTAGAGCAGAATTGAATTAAATAAAAAGACTATACAAAAAAATAATACAACAAAGAGCTGGTTCTTTGAAAAGATTAACGAAATGGACAAACCCCTAACTAGATTCACTAAGGAAAAAAAGGAATAAGAGCCATATAAACAAAATCAGGAATGAGAGAGGAGAAATTACCACAGACATCACAGATATACAAAGGATATTAGAATATTATGAAAGATTATATGCCACAAAATTCAATAACCTAGAAGAAACGTGTAAGTTTCTAGAAATATATAACCATCCTAGATTGAATCATGGAGAACTGGAAAAATTAAATAGAACAGTCAGCAGTGAGGAAATTAAAACAACCATTTAAAAAAAAAAAAAAAGTCCAGGATCAGATGGTTTCACCAATGAATTCTACCAAATGTTCAAAGAAGATTTAAAACCTATCCTTCTCAAACTTTTCCAAAAAATTGAAGACTCTACCAAAAAACTATTAGAAACAATAAAAAAAATACAGTCAAGTTGCAGGATACAAAATCAATGTGCAAAAATCCATTGTCTACCTGTATACTAGCAACAAAACTTTAGAAAAAATAGGGAAAAAATTCCATTTGCAATTGCAACCAAAATAATAAAATACCTGGGAATAAACTTAACAAAGACTGTGAAAGACTTTTAAAATGGAAAAATACCCTGTGTTCATGGATTGGAAGAATCAGTATAGTTAAAATGGCCATATTACCCAAAGCAGTATACAGATTTAACGCAATCCCCATCAAAATTCTAATGTCATTTTTTAAAGAAATAGAATGAGAAACCACAAAATACCCCAAATAGCCAAAGCAATTCTAAGAAAAAAGAACTGGATGTAACATGCTACTGGACTTAAAATAAAATTATACTACAGAGCTACAATAATCAAAACAGCATGGTATTGGCAGAGAAACAGACACACATCTCAGTGGAACAGAAGAGAGCCCAGCTATAAAACCACATGTATATGGTCAAATAATTTTTGACAAAGGAACCAGAAATACACAATGGAGTAAAGACAGTCTTTTAAATAAATAATGCTGGGAAAACTGGAAAGCCACATTCAAATGGATGAAACTGGATTACAGTTTGTCCTTATGTACAAAAATTAATTCAAAATGAAT